ATGAACTATGAATTTGGGTGAACAGTTAAAGAGAAACGAAAATACAATCAAATCTTGAACGTAAAGAGAGAGAGATAGATAGCTAGATAGATAGATACATAGATAGATAGAGAGAGAAAGAGAGATTCGAAAGATCTGGGACAAGGTTTTCAAACACATTTGCTTGGTAACATTTGTACGAAACGATATACGTATGATACGGTTATGCTCGCGTATGTCACAAAGCACGGTGAACGAGCGAGCGAGCAAACGAATGAGTGAAAAGGAACCGCTCGTTCATTTTGCATAACGCGTTTAAAAGAAAGAAAACAACCTGCCACACCTGAAATGTATTCTCTCAGCCGGTTCTATCTTTTACGTCGTCATTTCTTAATATCCTACCGATTCGTACCGAACCCAACGAAAAATCGTACCAAAATCATTTTGGTCACGAATGGTGAGATCCATATAAAAAAAAAAAAAATAAAAAAGAAATAAAAAAAGATCATTTCAATTAAGAGTAATTATTTACATGTGAATTTTTCCAAGGATATTTCATTCCCTATTTATAATTCGTATAATTGAACGAAATCCTCATCATGTCTCTCTCTCTCTCTCTTTAACATTTCATCAATGCTATAAAACAGAACATACATAGAATTTGAGATATACGTAATGAGCGTGTTGGTCAACGAACATCGAAACACCCAAGTACAGTGGAAAACATAATCCAAGTGGGGTGTGGAGGGTGGAGAGAAGAGAAGGGTAATGATGATTACCGAGCACTCAGCTTGGCTAGGATTAATTTAATGGTACTATGTGTCCAGTAGGATGGTTATAGCGAAACACTGTAACGATCGTTAACGATAGCCTTTCAGTGCTTTCGAAATTCACAAGAGAGTAAAATCGAATGAGGATCTAAATGATTTTTCTTCGAGTATTTCCTTCAATTTCTTTACATTTTCACGGGCAAACGAAACGATAAGATACAACGTCGAAAAGCCAACGATAACGCGGAATCGTCGAGCTGGCCGCTCTTCGGCAAAACTTTCTTCTTCTTCTTCTTTCTTTCTATCTCTCTCTCTTTCTCTCTCACTCTCTCTCTCTCTGTAAGAATTCTTCGGGGCGGCCTGGGTAAAGTTTTCACCTAAATTCCCATGGGTGCCGTGAGAGAAAAAGAAAGACAAGGAAAGGAAAGAAAAGAAAAGAAAGGAAAGGAAAAGAAAAAGAAAAGAAAAGAAAATAAAAGAAAAGGGAAGGGAAGGGAAGGAAAGAACGCGCATAGTAGCACCTCAACGTCGTTTTTCGCATCCTACCCTCCTTTTCCCAACTCCCACCTACCCTCTACACCCTCCCCCCACTACTACTCGTTGCTAGCTTTTCTCCAAGAACTCATACCTACGTATATATACAACACACCATCCAGTAAGATTATTCTCGTGTGTACGCACACGTACGTGCGAGATCGCAAGCGCAAATGTGCGTGCTCTCGCGGTATTCACGTGAGAAAACTCCCTGGAGAAATAACCGGCTTGTATGTAATGTACGCCGAGGTATTGTAAGGGGGTGTAAAGGCGCCCGTACAACCCTTCTCCTTCCACCTTTCCGAGAAATAAAAAGAAAAAGGAAGAAGGTACTGCTTGAATTTTTATCTTCACAGGTGCGACAAACCGTTTCTATTTCTTTTCCTTTTATCTATTGTTCTTTTTTTTTTTTTTCTATCCAACACGCCTATTATTTAATTATGATTCTAAGAAATAATTTCCATCCATACGTTGACATTACAAATTAAACTGGGTTTCAGCTTCTTTCAGGAGCTTGTACCAGTGAATCAATCTGACTTTTTTTTCTGAACAATTACGTAACAAGCTGCTTTTTACAAGGCTGGATTGTCAGGTCAACGTTCAACCCCTATTAATCGCCTTTCACGATAAGCAGAGGATACTGTGGATATATTCTAATTCCGATTCACAGGGGGATAAAATAAGCTATTATTTTTATTTATAATTAGTTGTAATCGTATGAGAGAGTTTTTTTTTTTTTTTTTTTTTTTTTACAGAATAATTAGAATATAGAAAAATGTATGAAAGAAAAAAAAGATCTATGTGAATTAAAATAGTAATTTAAAACTAAGAAATTTCTTTCTTACCGACAACGCGACGCACAGTGGAAGAAAATCAAATTAAAAAGTTAAATCGGTTGTCATCGACAGTCGGTAAGGCAGATAACTTTTCTTCGTCGTTGGGTAAATACAAGTCATTTAAATATTTATATAACATATTATATATATATATATATATGATTTTGTTTAATCAACTAATATTATTAACATTCAAATGATCTTTTTTCATAGATAAACAAATCAAAGTATAAAAGTTGAATTACATCGTGGAATGTAAATGCAAATATATGACAATGATAAAAGCAGAAATAAGGTAAAGGTAGGAGGAGAAACTTTAACTGAGTTGTAATAACGAGTGAGGATTTCCTCCGCACGGTATATAGCAAAATGGGAAGATTATTAAATAATAATAACACGGCGAGAGATGCCTGGCGGACATTTAAAGTGCTCGTCCATGTCCACGTCCGTCCTCGCTAATTATCACCAACTCCGACACGAATGACCATTCACCGAATTTCATCTCATCCTTTGGACACATATAGGGGGATCGTTATCCTCTGTTAGCTATTTTAGATTTATACGAACGAACTAACATTATTTTTTGACGTCATCGATATCAGTAATCAGAATTGTCACGTGCCAATAATAAATAATAATCAAAAATATCCTATATATATATATATATATATATATATATATATATATATATGACGTTACGCGTAAGATCAATGTGAATTTGTTAATATTCCTAATAGTGAAATATATCTTTTTAACGCGCGTCTATATTAAACACCGTAGCTATTCGATCGATTCTATTTATTGTACCCATACACATAGGGTCTGTCTACACAAGAGCTAGAGTGGTCCATTCGAATAATGAATGATGAGGTCGAAGCTTTCTGGATGTCCAAAGACGGACTCGAGTTAAATTTTCAGCGTGTCAACCGAGACAGTAATACATTGCCTGGACCATACAGAATGGGAGAATATGTAATAGTAATGGAGATAATGCTATTTAGAAATAGGAACCACCATATCGATCTTTAGAATATACAAAATTGCAGATACTTTTGATATCTTGAAAACATTAACGAGATTAATCAAATTAATTGAAAATCTATAAGGAAAAAGAGAGATAAACAAGCTTATGTGTATCTTCATCGGAGTTGGGTTTAGGTGACAGGCAAGAAAAGGAGGGTTAAATTAAGAAGAGAAAGAAGGGAGCAGCTTCGGGCAATCCCCGAAAAGAGAAAAACGAGTCGAATGCCCGTAATGCGAGGTGCTTAAAGTTGCAATGGGTCTCGGGGGTATAAATGGTGAGAGGGAGAGAGGGAGAGAAAGAGATCGAGTGACTGACTGACTGGAACCAAAAAGATGCGACCCGCCTAAGAGATTGGGATCTTCGCGAATCCGAGAAAGCCCATCGGGACCTTCGCTTGCATCGTCGTTCTTCGAGCTGATTTTAGATCGAAACTGTTTCTTCCTGATACGTCTATGAGCTACGATAAATGCGAGAGTCGAAGGTCACCCTATTGTCTTAATGATTCGAAAGGTCCATGAAAAAGGATAGATCTTATCAAGAAAGATAGCATTTGAACAAAGGGTCCTTTTCTAAACTTTCCTCTTGTTCTTTTTTTTTTCTTTTTTTTTTTTTTCTTAAAAGATTGATAAGTTAAATAAAAGATATAACAATTGGGCGTATTAAGAAAAATAAAAGGCAAATCTTTATTCTCTCCGAGGAAAATATAAAGTAACTTGGGAATAGAAAATTTCCCCAAGATGCCTTCAAGAAACGAAACACGTTTGGACGACTCTATGTTAACTATAACTCTCTGTGAATCTTAAAGGGAGTTTGCAAGTGCCTTCGTGAGAAACCTAGCCAAAGTACTACTTCGTTGTGAAAGAGAAGACTAGAGACATAGAAAGACAGAAATAGGGGGAGGAAGGTAGAGAAAGAGAGAGGGAGAGAGATAGATTAAGGTAAAGACAGAGACAGGAAGCAAGCTTGAAGGGTTAATTAAGTGTTTGCTCGTCCGACAAGCTTAGCCTGCGTATCTCTAAGAACAAACTGCCCCTGCATGTGCAATCGTCTGGTAACCAGCATTAAATGTACTCCCTTCATACTAACTTTAACCAGTATATACTAACTAAAACATTCTCTTTGTACATCTTCTTACAAGAAAACACGTTGCTTTTCATTTCTATTTTTGTAGTCAAACATATATATATATATAATCGAAAAAGTTTTTCGGAATAATTGAAATATGATGAAATATCTGGTAGAGGTGTAAATTTAGAAATATGATCATCGCTTAACCATTGGAGAAAAATGAAATTTCGAGTAAAGGCGAGGTCTTTCTTATTTCTAAAATACGATCTAAGAACGAATGTAAAGTGCGTTTAAGTCGTTTACAGTGGTCGGTACGCAGGACGGAAACTGGCACTAAAGGGACACATTTATGTCTTCCCAGGAGTACGTTAGGTAGCCTAGGTAGCCAGCTAGCCAGTGCCCAAGTCAAACCCCTCGGCCTCCGAATCGAATCCTCCTCAGCCCTCCTCCGCCCCTTTAGTCGTCGACTAGTATTCGGCTTATTCACCTAACGGGAACGTTAGTCGACTTTGCTCGCTTCACAAACCCTACCGAATCTCAGTGTTACTTCGTGATAATCGAATTACATTCGAATCAAACCTCGCGTGAATTCTTATAGAATTTATTTGAAATTTCAAAGAAATTAGATTTCATATATATATGATGTATTAATTAATTAATTAGAATGTTTGTGTATCATTATAATTAATCGATCGATTTGATTATCTATTTTGTTTGATTATATTACCTTTACATATATATAATAATAAATGTATATCTTGCGTGGTCAAAGAAATAATAAAAACTCACCGCTGTCGAGGCTATTCTGATTTTCCAGATCTGGCCCCTGTACGGACGATGGTCTACCGTCTTGCAAATAATCTGCAACATATACACAAACATATGTTAGAATACTTCAAATCAAATGCACTGTAGACATTTTTTTTAATGGGACTTAACATTGAAATTTCATGGGATTTGGAACGATCGAACAAAACGAATGAAATCGAATAGGTTTGTTTCTTCTTTTTTTTTTTTTCCATGGTTCACCATGACTTCGTTGTAGCGTTGGTACGCGAAAGCGTATAATACGAGAAAGGGTGGAAAAGAGCGTAGAAAATCTCATGGGAGCCATACCCGAGTGATATTGGCTCCCATAGCCCATTCCTGTACATCGGAGACCGGAGAACCTCACCTTGGACCTCGCGTTGAGGAAAAGCGGCCAAAATTCAAATTTCCCAAAGGAATTCGCACAACTTTAAACACAAGTTTGTGGGAAAACAAGTACAAGGCTTGAGACGGTGATAGTCACATTGATATACGATCGATATTTTCTTTTTGAACAATTTTATATCTAAGGTACGAAAGAAATATCCCCGTACGATTTCTAAACGATTAAAAATAGAAGAAACGAAACAAAACTGATCAAATGTTATAATATATAAAATAATATTTTAAGGTTGTGTGACACTCAAAAGCTGCTTGTGGAATTATCATTGCTCGTAAGTCACCTCCGGTAACATTGCAGCCGCATAGTTCGTGGTTTCAGAGAAGAGATAACTCGTATAAATAACCTCGGAAGTCCACGGTGTGCAATAGTCTTTTTTTACGAGTATGACTTTTGGGAGTTCCAAGGCCACGCTCGGGGCATCGTTGGTAATCAGTTTGCCGTTCATGCCGAAAATCTACACCGAAAGAAGAATTTCATTTCGAGTTCATTTCTAAACCACTCATCTACTATCAATTACTTTTTGATTTCGTTCGCAACACCACCGATGTGTATCGCGCGTAAACGAGGGAAAAAACAAGGAGAGATCTCGCATTTTTCTTAACAATAAGCTCATATTCCAAGTGAAATTGGCGCTTATGGAATTGAAGATATCTCGATAGGTACTTTTGCTCGAGAATGGGATTATCGATTCTATCATAAAGTCGACTTTTTGCTGATATCATTGGATATATCTATACGACGAGTTCCCATAAAGAAGAAGAAAAAGAAGAAGAAAGGAAGAGAGACATGGTTATATGAATTTTGGGAATTCGGCGTTCATGGTGAAGCTGTCAGGGAACCGGTTTTGGTTTTGTATTAGCATGTAACTCCAGCAGGAGTTGAAGTTGCGATGGCTTGTGGGTGGTTGGGTGGCTGAAGGGAGGGTAATTACCTCCTTGGGGAATCCCCTCTCCACAGCGAGGCCGAGTATAGCCCCAGCACGGGTACAGAGGCTTCCCACTGCTCCCAGTGGTCCCACGGGAACTCGACAGCGATTCTCATACGAGCTGGTGCTCAACTCGTTTCTTCCTCCTCGATTTCATCTTACTCAACGATATTTGACACAATCGTATTAGTTCTAGTCCCAATTAATTCATCATTTTTATGCGAATTCTAAATTCATCGATATTCCATTTAGTGTAAATATTTAAACTTTTTCATGCTGTGGTAAAATGTAAAAATTGAATCGTCGTTGTTGACTTTTTTGCTTTATTTTCTAACGAATTCGTTAGTTTTTTATCATGATTTTATGATGACACATTTGAACAAGTCCTCCTCTCGTGAAAGTTATCTCCCAGAAAATATCGCTATGAAATAATCCCATCGCTTCCAGTAGTCTCTTGGGATATGGTCAGCGATTCTCATACGCACGATCTAGATTGGAGATTACATCGAAAATCTTGTAACCTCTGTGTAACCGTATAATCGTTAGACCATGAAACGTATTTAGAAAGTTCGTTAGATCATTTTGACATGGGCAATATTCGCGGGCTAATGAATTTACGATCGCATTCCTATATTCTTACAGAGTTCAAAGTAGTAATCGTAAAATAATTCGTAAAAACAAGGAAATATTTTGACGGAAAGCCGTAAAGCAACGAGGGCATTTCGTGAAGCATTCTATAATCCCTAGAGAACTTTAACGCAGTGGATCTCATTCCGTTGAAATTCAAGTTTGCATTTTTTCGCGTATACCTTCTTCGTATTCATTGGAATTTTTCATTGTTAAATGAAGACAATCGAGGACAACTAAATTCTCCTCCGAAATATTTCATTCAGATAAAATGGATCGGTTAGGTATTTACCCAAGTTCGATTTCACAAATCGACAAATATTTACATAATTATTGATACGTTTTATCAAACCTAAACTATCTGCGTAGATTCGATAATGTCTCGCAAAGTGTTATCTGAATATAAAATATGTTTTATTACGTTTATTAGTAGTATCCATTGCTCTATTACATTCGAACCCGAATTATGTTTAATATATCATTGAAAAGATGATACTTTAGTAACAGATAACATCGTCGATTTGACGTCCTAACGATGATGACCCATATAATCTTGACTATCTTTTTAAATGCACGCAAATATATCGTTAATCAAATTTTACTAACATAAGTAGCTATAATAAACGCTTGTTTTAAAGATCAAAAGGACAAGGTGTTACTTTTAACAAGATTAGATAAGATATTATCGAAATATCAAATCTATTTCAATCGTATTTTAATAGTAGCTTCACGGGGTATAATCAATATGACAGAATTGAAGCATACACCTAATTAATTTTGTATTCGATTAAAACACCCAAATTCAGCCATGCTGACGAGCTTTTAATTGATACTCTCGACCCTATTTTACATCTTTTCATATCTCAAGTATAACAAGTTTGCTCTTTTACGATTATTCAGACTAGAAAATCTTTGGGTTGTAGCACAAATTGTTCAGAAATAATAAAGACAACATAGGGTAGTATTCATGAGTTATTCTGACGATAGAGTGGGACATAACGATTGCCAGTGAAACAGGCTTTCATAATTCCTGATTACTTTCATCCGTATACACAGAGAACGATGCTTTAATGTCCCAAGGAAGGTTTTTACACAAAATGCCTATTTTTCAATAGGTTTTATTCATTACTGAAATATTATATGGTCGGTTGTTGGTACTTTTACTATTCTACTGACCCAGAGAACACACAAAATTTAACATAAGTAGGAGAAAGAAATTAGACTAAAATTGAAAAGGATAGTATTATCCCGAACACCCTGTAGAGTGTCATCGACACATCTCGCTGTTAAGGGTAGGTCTGTCCCAAGAGAGAACCACAAACAACAGCAATAGGCAAGCTAGAGAACCACCCTTCGGAATCCTGTAAGGTCCTAGGACCTCGATATCTTTCGAACTGCCCAACCTACACCTTTGCGAGTCTCTCATAGAAGAAGAAGAAAGAAAAGGGAAGAAGAATAGAAGGATAGAAGAAGAAGAAAAAAAAAGAAAGAAAGAAAGAGACTATACCCACGGGAAAAGTTTAATTTCTTTCCGAGAAAGATGGCTGTTCCTTGTACTTTGCCGCCAAGGATCGGTCTCGTGGTCGATATATATATATATATATGTCTCTACTAGTATATCTATGTATCTGTATATATATATATATATAATACACACGCGAGCGCGCGCGCACAAGAAGAGAGAAAGAGACACAGTACGGTCTCCGTAGGAATTAATTTGGTCGGATGTCCCTGCTGGGACATCTCCTCGCAGTGCCACCGAACCGTTTGCTAGCGACGACTTTTCGAACTCCTGCCAGAAACCCCGTCGAAATTGACCTCTTTATGCCAAATGCATCATTCTTTATGTCTACCGCATATACATTCATTTTTGATAGTATCTAAATAGTCTATGACAGTTCGAAGAAATTTGTTTCAGGTGCGATTACGCGTGAGATGCAACGTCGAATTCAATATGTACCAACCAATGCAATACGTATATAATAGAAAAGAATATAATGCAGGAACCCTAACGAATTAGGATATTAAATAGATATAGTTTTTTGATGACCATTGCAACGTTCGAAAGGACTCGGACTAAAAATCGGTAGAATTCCAGTTGATATATCGCTCGAATTCGCGGTTCAAACTCGTGGGATCAACTATAAAGGGGTGCACACACCTGCGTGTCGTAAACATCGCGATACGAGGCTATAAGCCCTCCGCTCGGAGATAGTTAACCGAGGAATTAGTACACTCGGCAACTCAAAATTATTGCGCGAACGCAGCTTTTGACGTCGCTTGGCTAGACGAAAGGGCGAACGCGAGCCACGACCCTTGACGAACGCATGCGGCTTTACCGTTAAGAGCCTAGCATAAATTTTGCCGTCCGGCTAGCGGTCCGGCTAGTGACTCCCTTTGACCCTTCGCGCATGATGGACATCGTTCGTCGCTGGCTTACTTCGATCCATTTCCCCCCCCCAACCCTTATTCAGCTCCCTTATTAGAGAATATTTTCCTTCTTTTTTTTTGGCAATCTCCTTTAGTCGAATTGTTGTCCATCTATCAAATAAGAATATCACGCGAATCAGATATTTTCATACGAAATAACTACAATATCATAACGTTCACGTCCAAGTAGATAAAAATTAGCATAAAGTTAACGGAACTAGGCAATACTTATGTATCTATATTGTACTAGCTCGAAAGTTAAGTTGGGTTACATTGTCCAGTCCCAAGGTAATAGAACGTTGCCTCTGACGTTTCAATACGACAAGCTATATTGCAAAGACATCTTTTGTGACCGCGGGAATACAATTCTTTATTTCGCAACACTATACTACCACCTCGAATGACAATAAATTTTACTATCGCTCTTTATGTGACCCCCAAGTAAAATGAGCTTATCGATCGGTCTTTTAGAAATGTAAAATAAAAAGATGAACGGAATTTGACTCACGCAAACATGTATAAGATATTTTATTTTTTCCAACGAAACATTCATACTACTTTATCTAAAGAAATTCACAAGTTTTATAGCGAATGTGTTAAAGAATTGGGGAGAGGGGACACAGGTGTTGGCACTAGAGATAAAAAAAGTAAAAAAGAGATAGAGATAGA